ATTTACTAATTTTCCTTACTTATTGAATTTCAGAATAAGTTACCATTTTTTTATTTATAAAAATGGTTTTTTAATTTCATAATAATGAAAATATTAAAGTTAATATTATAAAATCAAAACAATTAACCGCAATTTCATTAAAACACTAAAAGGGGATCTTTATACAAGCATAAAACAAAAATTATTATTTTATAAACATATTATTCTCACTCTGACTGATTTTAAAAATCTTTTGTTAAATTTAATTGAATTGTGAACACAATTTCTGCTTTAGATTTCTCTTTTTGAGTAACACTGCAAACTTCTCAATGCAGTTTTCAATGTACAAAACCATTGTCTGACAGCTAAGTGTACAAAGTTTTGGAGGGAAAACCTAAACAGACTTACTTTCTCGCCCCGTTTTGTGTGATATTTCCCGACAAAAGGCAGTCGCTGTTTGCTGTAGCCGGAATGCACCTGGTTTCCCAACAACTCTTATCGCACCCAGGCGGTTTGCTCTCTGCGTGGATGATAAGTTCTTTTTATGGCGTGCCTTTTAAAATATCGGGGCGTCAAGGTGTCTGGCTCGGCGGGTCGGTTTGTGCCCGGGGTTCACTCTTGCTTCTCAGGAAGAATAGTCATTTTTTTCTCTACCTGAATCTCCTGCATTATGAAATCCAATACTTCTCTCCGCCTGCAATGGGGGCGCACAATAGACGTACCCTCAGGTATTTTTCCTTTGAATCAGTCTATTTAATCTGAGAAAACAGATTCGGGAAATTTGAATGGGCCTCTCTTGTAGAATGTATAACAACTTTTATGTCATATAAAATAAATTTTTTCCTGCCTCGCGAGGGTGCGTGGGGATTATATTATGCATGCTGCAAGGGATTTCAAAGGAGACGTTTCAAGGGGAATTAAACCAAATCCAATGGCCAGGGAATGCATTTCATACACAGGCTGGGCTTAATTTTTGATGCCGAGCGCACCTGAAAAAAAAATGAAAAATATGCCAAGTGCTTTTGCCCTATTCTTCTGGAGTTGGACAATTTCGGGCGCAATAACATCAAATAATCCAACAAAATAAGAGAAATAATCCATGGAAAATTGAGCGGAATGAGTTGCTGGACAATAAAATTCCACAGAAAAGTTTTTGTGTATTTCTACAACATGCACGTGTTCCAGAAAGTCTTCTATTTATCAAAACGTGTATAAAGTTTTGTTTGCTTCACTTTTTGTCAATAGTGGTAAAGGTTTTATGGCGATTTCAAGTTGTCTTTAAACCGAAATGCGGTCAAATTTAATCTTATCAACATTAAATTAAAAACCTGATGGTGCGTTGAACTTTTCATATCTGCGGCACATTGTGTTTGCTATCAGCAAGAGAGTCATTGTTTTCAAAATAGATTGCCAAAGCATTGCACCCAAGCTATGTAATATAAGGACTCTCCTTTATTGATGAAAGAAAACACATTAATTTACAAAATTTACAAATACTTATAAAATATTTTATGATAAATTAAAATTCTTCAAATATAATTTTTTGGAAGTCTATTGCGTTTTAAATAAAAAGTAAATATTACATAATTTTATTTTATTTACTAACCCTTTTTAATTTTCCATTAAAACAATATATTTTATATTTATTAAATTTTTTAATTATTTTAGTCACTTATTTAATAAAATATTGGCCTATATATTCATTCATGTAATCTATTTAACACAATTAACCTAAATCCATCTTCTTGATTCTTGATCCATGTGACATAGCAGATTTGAGTGCTCCTGATTAATTTATTTTCTTATTTTTTTATTGGCTTCAAATTTCTAGTTAAAAATTTTCTATTTAAGTAATCACTAATTAATATCTTTTTTTAAGGGCCTCAAGTTTAGAATTTATATAATTTAATCTTTGAAATAAAAATTCCAACCCCTGATCACGCTTAACATTTTGTCAAAACTGGAAATTATCTGTTAATCAGTTGTGGCAAGGGATGTAGCAGCGCTTGTTTTACAGGAGATGCTACAACTAGATTAGTAAAAAACGCATCCCTGAAACACGGGAGGCTTTTGAAATATATTATGCAGCCTCGCAAACATAAACGAATGATCTCGATTCTGAAATCGAAACCTTTCACGCGGTACTTTTCTTTTCCATCTTGCAACGGTCGTTTTGGGGCGCGAGGGAAAATTAATGTCAGCAGTCGCAACCCTCATCCTCCCCCGAGCTCTTTCGTTCCTTTCCGAACTGCCCAAGACGAAGTTTGTGAAATCAGAGATTCCTTCCTCTCCGCCTGATTGTGAGAACTGAGAGCTGACAAACAATTTATTATTTTCGTATGCTATAAATTAGTTCCCAGTTGACTTTCTGATATAAAAAAGTAAAGGGTCCAGAGTATGGCAGAGATGTGTTTTTTTTTCATCTCTCTCGGTTTAATTTTTTGTCCGCTGCAGCGCAGAAGCAGAGATACTGATCTCGGAGGAACGTAATTTGTGATGGCCAGCGCGAGGAAAAAATAAATATTTATTTTCTAAATTAAATCACGAGAGAGGATGGGCAGCAGAGTGGTGATTACCCACCCCCTGAAGATGCATCGCACGATTTTAATTTCCGCCTCCACTTAAATATGGACCTGCCTCTTCACTCTGCATGCCCAGAAAAGCAAACAAAACTCACGTATATTTATGGCTTTTGGAACACTATACTCTATCATTATATTTCTCTGTGCCTGATGATGATGATGGTGCATCTAGATAAACAAACATATTTTTTTTCCGTAAGAAAATCCATGTGCGATCATCAGCATCGTTTTCGTTTGGGGAAAAGCGAAGAGAGAGGCTGCTTTTTTAATGCTGCAGCAGCTCAAAGATGTTCCCTCTCCCACTACAAATGATGCATTTCTTATTTTATTATATCTAATAGCCTGTAAATATACACACGCAGCATCTCCTCGTCCGCTCCTCTCTCTCTCCTTTAGATAATCACACATGCTGTCTGTCTGTGAGTGCAGGACATTGTGCTTCAATTCCAGCACACAATGTGCCCGTTCTTTATATTCCACTGCTCTGCTTGGCGGCGGCAAAAAATAAATCTAACTTTACATCATATCAGAAGCTTTGATATTATATTGAATAGGCAAGCAATAAGCTTTTAAACGGCATCGCCATGCCTCATTAAATGGAGCAGAAAATGCTGTTTGCAAAAACAAAATATTTATTGGATTTCCGAACATCTGTTTAGTAAGAAGAAATTGTTAAGTGAGTTGAAGAGTTCGGATTTAGTTAGAACTAGTATAGGTCATAATGCGAAATAATTTAATTTAATAAAATAAATTAAGTTAAAGCAGTTTGGAACTATATAATCTTATATCTTTTGAATTAGTTCTTATGACTAAACGCTTTTAAATTCTCAAAAATCTTATATCTTATATTTATTTAAAATATTTTTTAAATAAATAAAATCAGCTTATTGCTTCTAAACGCATACTTTTCAAAATCTTTTGAATTTAAATTTTTTTTTTTATTTAAAAACTTGTAAACATATGAAATTTTTTTGTAGGACTGCGAAAATAATCAGAGCCCCTGAAGTCAATTTTTTGTGTGAGATTTTTACGCATTTAATTAAGCAGTCTGAAAAACATTTATTTTGCTGGTTGACCGAAAATTTGGAACTCGTATCGGATCAATCAGCAATTGAACGTTCTCAGAAAAATTAAAAAAAAGAAATAAATAAAAACTGACGTAAGCAAAATGTAGCTTTTTAAATTATCTTTCTTTTTGTTATGAAGGTAGTGCCGCCAGAATTATTTTATTAACTTTTGAAGGACGAAATAAAAAATTTGATATTTTCAGGATGAAATACATTTTTGAGAATATTTTTTTTACATACCATTTAGGTTGGAAAATTATTATATAGTCCTCAACCGAATATACATATGTCAAAAAATAATTAGCCTTATATAATTGATAGGAATGTTTTTATGATGAGTACCAATTGACCGCAACAAACGTTTGGTTGGAGCAGTAGTTGAATTAATTATTTAATTTTCTGACGACGGCTTATTTTTTGACAAATATTCACTTCCAATGGAATGGCAATGTTGAAAAATTCACAAAAATGATCTAAAATTTATAATCTGAGTCCTCCAAAGGTATAAACAAATCTGACGGGCATTGCCTTTAAAACAAAAAAGAAAGATTACATAATTGGTTTTTATTTCAAGGAATGCTTTAAAAAAAACTTTGCGTCATTTCATCTATCAATCCTGCAAATATGAAGATAATTTTTAAATGCGTTATATTGATAAATATATTATTCAATCCGTGTCGGTGCGATTCATTTTTATTTTTCTATGCCTGCCTCTCGCGAAATGTTTGTCTCTCATCCAATCTCATCCCTGTCCTGACTTGTTCGCTCTGCTCTTGGAGGACAAGAAGCAGCAGCAGCCACTGACGCCAGCAGGATAAAGGGGGAGTGTGTGTTCTGCATTTGTGCAACGTGACAACAAAAGTCACCCCAGCGACCCTATTTCGCCGAATTTGAGCCGACGGAGGACTTTGCCGACCTGCCGAGGACCCCAAACGGACCAGGGACCATCGCCGCGTGTCTCCAAGGTAGGGAAAACCGCGATTATAATTTTATTGAACGCGCGCCGGGCTCATTTACTTGGTTTGCCGTGTCGCATCGGCCGCCGGCACACGTGGCCACTCTCAAGCTTCAGATAAAGTCCACCGCCGATTTTTCCAATAATTTCCGATTGAGCCGATACGAGCGCTGAATTTTCGGTCACCCGGCGAATGTTTTGTTCAAACTGCTAAATCAAATTAATACGTTAAAACCATAATAATATAAAATTTGACTTCAGGGGCCCTGTAAAGCAATCGAATAAATCAAATATATTTAAATATAAACAAACGTACAGGCCAGGAAATATACAAATGTGCAGTGAATCATGTATTGGATTATGATACTTCGGATAAATCCAAGTGAATAAATTTATTAAATTAAAATAATGTGCAAATAATGTAATAGGAAATTTTTATTTTGATTTCATCAACTACAAGCAAGGTAATTAAATTTAAAATGATCAACTACAATTTACACTAAAATTCTTAATTTTACAAATTTTATAATTTTATTTTTATACAGTTGCTTAACGAAATGAAAACAAAACCACAACATTAAAGCTATAATTGTTAAGTATTATAAATTTTTTACACCGTGAACACCATGAATGCGCATCATATGCGTTGAAAGAATATAACCCTGGAGTGTCTTTTTGCAAATTTTACATTCAACCGTCCTCTTCAAGTGTGCATTTTCGATGTGGAATTTCAGTGCGGAAGACGAAAAGAATGCTTTTTCACACTGCTGGCAATGATGATCACTGTTGATGAGGAAATGTTTCCGTGCCAGATGTGCTATCAAACTAGTTTTATTAATGAACTCTTTACTACAGTGTGCACAGGCGAAAACTTGTCTCAAATTACATTGTTGCCTCTTTATGTGAATTTTCAAATCCGACTTTCTACAGAAGAAACGCGAACAAATTTTGCAATTAAATTGCCGATTCTTAAACTGAAGTCTTTTGACGGGATTGCCGAGGTGGCTGGTGCCAATGTGATATTGCAATAAACTCTTCCGGTGATAAGTTCTTGGGCACATGTCGCACCTGAGCCGAGGCCCTTTGCACTCAGTCTGGTGCCTTCTTTGCTGTTCGGTACAATCAAATGGAATTGAGCATTTGGTGCAGTAAACCTTAGTCAAGTGAGTGCTGAAAATTAGGATGGGAACTTGTGTGTCGCAGCATGGACAAGTTCGGAATTTGTGTCTCAGATTCATATGAGCAACTAAACTGTGAGCGCTTATTAATCTTTTGGAGCACTCGGGGCACTCAACAGGCTGGACTGAAATTTGGTGTTTTTTAGCCTTGTGGTGATCCAAGCTTGACTTTTCTCTAGTCCTATAATCGCAAATGGAGCATTTGAACTTTCTCCGCTCCTCAGCCTTTTTGTGAGCATTTTTCACGTGCAAATCCAAATCGGCCTGCGTTTTGAAAAAATCTCCACATTTGCCAACTTTACATTTAATTTTGATATCAAAGTGACTCCATTTTACATGTCGGTACAACTGAGTTCTGGTAAGGCGAAATTTCGGACAGTAAACGCAATCAAAGAGTTTTTCTACTCTGGGTTTCAGGTGAATTTCTTTGATATGGGCATCTCGGTCCTTTACATTTTTAAAGTATGTGCGGCACTGGGTATGATAATTGCACTTAATTGCTTCGTTTGCGTGCACGTCTTTGATGAGTTCTGGATGATGCCCCTCAAATAATTTACTTTTACCGTAAATAGATTTTTTCTCTCCACTTATTATTCCTGCAGCATCAGAAGGAGCTTCGTCAGCTTCATTTTCAGATAAGATTTTCTCTTCAATAACAGGCACCTTAACTTCAACGTTTTTCAAAGAAACCCAACACTGTTGCACTTTGCCAGCTAAAGATAAAAAATATAAATAAAATTCAAATTAATAATTAAATATAATTATCATACAAACCTTTGTAATAATTGTAGAGCTCTTCAATACCACAACTCGTTTCTTTTATAGGCCTCCAGAAATATTCACCCTCGTTTTCTTGCAAAAACCTTTCACGAGAAATAAGAATTAAAAAAAAATCAAATAAGAAGAAAATGTATACTTGGCGTCCCAGATACAGTAGCAGCAGAGAAGGTCATCGTCCTCGACTTTATCGGCCAATTTGGTGCCCAAATTCTTCAGGCACCACTCGTCGAACTTTCCCAAGTCCAATTCGACCGCCCTGAAGGCGCCGTCGGCCGCTGGCCTCTCGCAAAGTCGGCACAATTTGGGCCACATGTTTGCCGCCGTTTACCTGTTTGTTTGTCAGAGCCAGATGTTTTCGAGTTACCTGGTCGCATTGTTAAGAAAAGACCAGCTGAAAGGGGCTCATGGCAAGGGAGGAGCTTGTTTTTTCGCGAGAAGAGCGGGAAAAATCAGGGTGAACACGTGTTGGTCATTTGTAAGTATATAGCTAGCGTGAAAAGGGATATTTTAGTAAATTTCAAATAAATTAATTTTAATGTGGGTAAATTTAAAAATCATAATATGAGTGAATTAATATTTAAAATTAAACAACACAATAAATGGAATAAATTTTGCTGCAGCTTAATTGGAACAAAAGAAACAAAAAAGCTTGTTATTATTAATAATTCAATAAATTTCCAAAACTTACATGATTGAAAGAAGAAAACAAATAGTTAACTCACTAATTATTAACTCCCGTTTCAAATTTAATTCATTAATATATTTATAAACAAATTTTTACAGCTCTCAGTCCTTTAGTTCTCACGCATAATAAGTAACACAATCGAAAACACACTTGCTTCGGACACTACACTTTGAATTATTATTCCAAACATACTCGTCTCTACCAATAAAAGAGATGCGCTTTGCTAGATTAGCACGCGGCGCGGCTAAATTTGCATTCAGGCGTCAAGAAAAGCCTATCTCGTTTGGCAAAAGCGCTGCGTCGCCTCCAAAAGTAAAAATATGTTAATAGGCGAATAAAAATAAAACTCGGACGCCAAAACGCTTAAGAGGCTGTTATGTCACATTCATCACAACGTCGCCGCGTAAGCAAATAGTTGAATAGCCGGTCCATTGTTGCGGCCGCACAACGGTCGACTGTCACATTTGTGTCTCTTTTCTTGCAAAAGAGCGAGAAAAATATTTCCTTTGGCATGAATTGGGCCTCTGAATAAAATTCCTCGCGCTCGATTTGTTTGCTTAGGGGGTCGCATTCCGTTTCGGAGAGGTGATGAAATCGGTCTGGAGGAGAGGAGAGGAAAGACCACATGTGGAAGATATAGAAGCACTTGTAGCGAACATCCCCTAGCTCGGGGGTGGTCAATCGTTTCGGCTGCTGGTGCAACATGTTATTCTTTCCCTACAAAACTACACACATTTCTCGAGAGAGTGAAAACACACACACACAATTCTAAGAAGAGAAAAGAATGAAAAATATTCGTGAAACATAATAGCGAGTGTCACTTTTGAGCCGTTTTCCAAATTCAAAAGGATGGAATTTTTTATGTTTTTTTGTGCCCAAACGACCGGCTGTGTGCCGGAGAGCGATAATCTCTCTTTTAAGAATAAATTTAATGGGCCTGCTTTTAAATCTAATGCTGTATCTTTCTAATTTATCTCCTGTAAGAGACGCGCATATGCGGAGAAAAAAATTCAAAATATTCCGAGAGATTTATTCATGCGCTCCTGGTGCTTATCTCGCCAAAGGGTCCAACAATTAATATTAAAAAAAATATAAATATATTAATCCAGCTCTTATGTATTTATAAAAAGTGGGCGTGATCGCAATAACAATCGAAGAGGGATCCTCATCATGCGTCTCTCTCTCTCTCCTAAGCAACATGAACACACAAGTGCGAGATCAAGAAAAGCATCAGAGGAGAGGAATATTATTACATGGCTGTGGGTTATCAACCGCGGAGAGAGGTCACAGGCCCGCGGTCCCCACCATCGCCGTCAGCAGAAGCGTCTTTTTAAAACACATACATCCACATGCACGCTGCTGGCCAACCGATAAAGAAAGAGAGAGAAGAAGAAACTTATAATGTTATACCCGCGAGCAGCCGTTTTATATTTATTTATTTATTTTCCACTCTAACGTTTGTACTCGAGCAGAAGCACTACCGCGACCATTTTTATTGCGCAACTCAAATCTTCTCACCACAACATCCAGAGTTTATTTACGTAATTACTCTCCATTGTCGTCCTGCTGGTTTTTGCTGGCCAACCAAAGCGGTTTTAATTAGCATCCTGTGCTGAAAATGAAATAAAATATTCAAGCAGCATAATCCTTTCACTGTACGTTGGCCATAAGTTATGCCAATCAAAACAAAACCCTCAAATGCCACAAACTAGAATAAGATCTTAATAAGCAAATAAATTTCTTTTCAAATGGACCATTTTAAATTAAGACTTTTAAATGTAACTTCAAGGATAAAGATAATTTAAAATATCGCCTATATATACTGATCCATACCATTTCTTTCCGGCATCAAGTAATGCACTAAACAAAACAAAATACAATTTATACCACTTATTTCTATGACTAAATCAGTTTAAATTGCACTTCATAACGTATTATTTGCGCTTTTTATAAAGGAAAAAAATGAATGATGATTTTGATTAAAACATATTATTATTTATCTATTTAATTTTGGAATTAATCAAAGTGATTATCTAGGCGCGTCGAATTTTTAATTTGCTGACGTCTCTTTTCGCACTAAACGCTTTGTGTGCAATTCATCAAACTTTTCACAAAAAGAGAGTCGTGATTGATGGCGTTTTTCAATCAGTTCCGAGCTCCGATCCTCTCTGTAATTTGCCACACGATTCTTCCGCCGCGCGCGATTAAAAGCCGTTCCCGAATCTGAATAAAGCGTGCGCACAAAAAAGATGAGGCTTCACGCTTGATTTGCTTAATTGGATTTTGATACTCTGTGTTTGCGCTGCGCCTTAAAAAGGGGTAACTTTATGCAAATGCGCAAGTTGAGGAGGTCCTTTGAATGCGAAATTAATCCGCTTTTGGGCAGAAAAAATGTATATATTTATCGCATAGCATAGGTATAATTGATCCCTCGTGCTTCACCTTTGGCTTTGTCCGCGCGCTCGAGCGACTTTTGTGCGATGCAAATTATAATTTAAAGAGAGAGGATTACATGTTGAATCATTACGCACGCGTATATATACAAAGGTATACATATATTCTTTAAAGCCGCGTGCGGGGAGAGAAGAATGGCCAAGGAAAAAATGGCACGAGACAGCGCGCATCTGCGCTTGTTAAAACACCCAGCCCACTTTTTGCTCAGCCAGACCCTTAACCTCTGAATTAGCAATAATTTAAATTTGTCAAACCTCATTCTTCGTGGTTAATTAACGAATTAAACTTGGGGTCATGAATTAAGGAAGAGCCGTCGGGCATGAAAAAGCGGCCGAGGGGAATTAAATTTAAGACGCGCCGCCGTGCGGTAGCTTGTATATTATATATTTTTTACTTGCTACTTTGCACAAGCGAATTCAACACACGTTTCTTTCTTTCTTTCTATATATGCGACCGGCCGACGCGGGATTTGCATAAATTTGAGCGTAAAGAAGTATGAAATCAATACACGGCCTTTAACAGCGCATAAATTACCACTCGCGAACTTAATGAGGATAACAGCTTTGCTTCTGCCACTCGAGTGTTCAGCTAGCAGTACTACCGTTTTTATTTATTTATTTTTCATAGGGCCGCGCGAGTATATAATTGAGAGCAAGCGTCTGTTCCTACGGTTCATACGCATCATGTGCCGCTGGAAGTGGACACTTGTTAAATGAAGGGCCTATATGAAATTGTGTCAAAAGGTCGGCGAACTGGGTCAGCCGACGGGTTCAGATGCAAAAAGTTTATTGAGCGATGGAAAAAAAATGAAGAAAATAATTGGCGAATCTTTGCGCATAGACCAGCAGCCGGCGTTGCCTAGCAGTTGTGCGTGTTGCATAACACACGTGTCGTCTAGGATTATTAAAGGAGGAATAATGAGAAAATTGCAAACAGTAAAGGCAGGAGACCAACGCAATATTATTTATTGCAAACATTCAACATTTCAACAAAACGAACTAAAAAATGAGTAAATTTTAAACTTCAACACAAGGCAAGGCAAGAATTTGTTTTAATTCTTCTTAAATAATAACCAGGCTCACTGAATAATTTTGTTCGTTGTGACTAGAAACGCAAAATATTTATCAAAATAAACTTTGAAAAGTGTCGCCATCTCACTCAGTCCTGTTAAAATTATCAAAACAAAAAAATAGTAGCTAAAAACTTGTGCAAATTAAAATTGAGGTATAAAAGATAAAGTAAGATTATAACAGTTTTTTGTCAACCAAGGTTCAAGGCTTAGAAATTGAAATTATTAAAAAAAAAACCGGACAATATTAGGTAGGGTTCAATTAAAAAAAATTGATCCAGAAGTACCAGTCTTAATTCTTGTTATTAAATCCATATGGATCTCTGTTAACCGTTTCAGGGAAAAATGTTTTAAAATTATTTAATATTTTAATGAAAATCTATTCTCTCCTGTTAGGTTTTGATTTAAATATTAAGAAATCATCTAAATAAAAATAAAGTTAAATTAATAATTTCAAAGTTAAAAATAAAATAAAATTTTATTTATTTCATCATATTAAGAGGTTAAAATGGGGATTTAAATAAAACGGGTTTGTAACGTACTTTTCCTGTTATTTGTATTTCGCCGTGTTATAAACGACGTCTTTGATACTTTAAATTCTTTTCTAGATATGAGACGACTCGTGCCTCTTATATAAATCCTCGAAAAAAGTTAATGGCGCTAAAGTGAAATAATAAAAGGCAAAATGCAAGGCATGAGACGATTTTAGAACTATTAGCATTCCAAATAAATAAAAGTCTCTTTCTGGCGGGCCGAGCCATCATCCTCTCTAATGCGCAACATAATTGACTTGAGCAGGCAAAGAAGCCTTTTTCACTCTCGCGTTTGCCACTGCGCGCTTTAATCTGCAGGCCAAAAGTACTTACAGCTAATAGACGCGCGCTTTGATCTCGCAAAAAGCGCTGTCGGATTATTTCTTCTAAAATGATATTCTCTCCCACTATTGAAAACGCACACGCGGATCTGCGCAAGGAAATAAGCTAATTTGATAAATTATTGTGCGCTGCGGCAAATTGCTACTGCCGGTCATTGGCTCTAATCCAATATATAGAGACCTTCAAAACACCGAGTTTTATTAGTTTCGCGATGAGTGGTTATTTGTCCCAAAACCGACGCGCACCTGGTGTGTGGATCTCTTGCTCACGTACAAAAGAAGCAATTTAAAGCGCGCAGAAAAGTCCAATTTATTTGTGCACTGCAACTAACTCGGCGAGACGTAATTTTGTTTTATGTTGTAATTGGTATAATTAAACATGATGAATCTGCGCTACTTGCCGAATCGACGCGAGCAGCAGTGCAGATTAATGATAGCGGGTAATTATTTTGCTACCGCTCGCTGCGAGTTGCAGGAGGGGAGGCTGAGCTGCTCTCTTTCTCGCTCGCCCGCGAATAAAAAGAGCACATAAATAATAGAGTGCTCTGTTTTGTTGGCTCATTTAAAAGACTCTTTGTGGTCAAGCCGTGAATACACACCAGAGCGCGGAGAGCAGCGTCAGTTTGGTGCTCATGCCCAGCACCACGTACCTCCCCCC